GGCGTGAATTTACAGGGTACAGAGGAATAATATCTGAGTCCTCAGGAATGGCAACGCATGGGGGTATCATGGGCGAAACAGTTTACTCTGTTATGTCCATAGTATTGCTCATGTCTATAGGTGACGGTTTCCATTTTCCATCAGGTGCCCACGGCCCCGTAAGCTTGTTTGACATTCTAATTGTGTAAAAAAAATGTTTTTTTACCACTAGGTCAATACCGTATGTTTATTTGCTACAACATTTGTAATATATTTTTTTTATTTTTCAATATATAATTATATTTTTAGAGGGAAACTAGTGTAGGACTTCAAGTATATATAAAATATAAATAATATATATGTATATTATTTATAACATATACACGAAAAGTAATAATAATATATATTTATAAAAAGTTATTACTTTCTAATTGTTCTAGTAATATTTTTTGATAAAAAATCTACAAGTGTAATTATATGGTTGTTATATACAATTTTGCGGAAAAACTAATGTGATGTATTTCTTCTAACTTTTGTTGTTTACCTTAGACTTCTAACAAAAAAAAAATACAGAAATACTTTCCATGATTTAACGAATAAAGTATAACACTGCAACCGTCAGGTAAGTAAAAATGGTAAACCCATTAATTCGAGCTTTTTCCCTCCACGATCGGTTCTGAGCGAGCGGTCACCAGCGGCAGCTGCGCGCGCGCCGGTCGCGTGCCTCGTAAACGCACGACCGGAGCCGAACAGGCACGCGTCGCGGGCGTCGCAACGCCCGCGTATGATTGACGCAAAATTTGGTTGAACTATACTGCATTACTACATAAACATAATACTGTATTAATTGAATTATACTATCCTTACATAAGATCAATAGTAAATTAGTGCGAATAACTATAGATTCATTTTGACGGTTCGCCACCAATATTTCTTAACTTTCATTTATAAAATAGTTTTTTCTAGTGTAGGTATCTATCCTCTTTTCTATCGTATATGATAAAATTTCCATGCGACCAATTTGTATATTCTTCCAGATTACAAAATAATTTTCCAAATTGGTTTAGAAATGACGGAGTTATGTGGTAACAAACATAAAAAAAAAAATACAACCGAAGTGGGTACTTCCATTGATATAAAGCCGTTTGAAAATTACTTCGAATTAATAATCACAATCCGAAGCTATTACAACTGTATCACAATCCGAAGCTATTACAACTGTATTATGTCACTATCAAATCGTATTTAAAACGACTTCTTTGTTACTATCATGCAAAGTTCCATTAAAGTTAAAAATATTAATAAAATCTCTAAAAAATAATATTTTTTTAATCTTTCCACGTGCTCTGAGATTTTCCAACAATCAACGTATGGTCTGTAATCAGTTAAAACTTTAACATAAGTACTAATATGATTATTACTACAGGTTCTTAGAAATGATAATTTGAAGTTGAGCCGCACAGATTATATCTAAATGATATAATTATTAGACGATGAACGCGCCTCTTCTAGTTGGAAATATGCACACGTTCCTTAATGGTGCGGAATGTTGGACTCTTCCCCTCGAATTATAATGATAGCTATTGTTTTATTACGTCTAGTATAACGAATGTTAGCGGATTCGCAGAAAATGTTCGAATTAGAAGCATTAGGGTTTATTAGAATGCGTGAGCGTTATTTTACGCACCTGCGAATCCTACTTCATTTTTACCTGGATACTGTCGCAAAAATTCGGTTCTTTTATAGCTAATTAAGGATAGTCGGCGCCACTGAGTTTCTTTTTTATAATTGGATTATATTATAGAAACAGGTTCCTAGAAACGGTATTTTGTAATCAGGATTTGTGGGGAAGTTGAAAGGGTTTATTGTCTATCCAAGCAAGGTGGGAATTATTTTAATTAAGCTATGGTTTCTTTAATAAATTTTTAAAGATAACACGCATATTTGCACAATAATTTTAAACTAATATTTATGTTTACTACTTTCAACTATGAGTAAATTACTGTGTATTTATTATTATAATACACAATTAGGTAATAAATAAGGATAAAAAAATTTACATCATGTAGAAAAAAAAAAGAGGAAGAGGAAGACCGAGAAATAACTACATGGGACAGATAAAAGAAACACTAGATGTCATATCGTATAGGGAGATCAAGGATATGGCCTGGGATAGAGCTGGCTGGAAGAAGATGCATGAATTAGTTGCACCGACAAGAGGAAGCTCTTAAATGAAAAGAGAGAAGAGAAAATTCTATTCTCTAACATCATATTAAGTAATAATTTTATTTACATTACTTATTACTTATTTAAGTTATAAATGTACTAGGATGAGCATATTCATTTATAGATGATTGATCTATTTGTCACATAAATACCTAATGAAATAATTTTAAATGTAATTACACAGCCTTTAATTTTGACGTGAATGTATTTATATTTAATATGCTTTTTTAATTTGATTATATATTATTATTAAAATAATACATTTTACTTGTTATAATATAACATCAATTATCTGATTATTAAGCTAAAATATCCTGAATTAAGATAAATCAGAGAACGACCGTCTAGGTTAGGGCTCAACCCAGATCACCCAGACTAGAGTAAATTTAGGAATATTCATTTCATAGATTCAAATAGATGCCATATGCACCTACTCATACATTGCGTGCCAGCTTATGGCTTTAAATTAGACTCAATAGAGCTTAATTGACACCAGCTAAAATTCGAATTACAATTTATGTTGAAAAAATTTCAGAGAATCGACGTAAACATTTTCGAAAGAAATTATCCCACTCTGGTGTTGCTGTCTATAAATAACTTTTATTTAAAATAAATAATGGAATAGTTTTTTTTTTTAATTGAGATACATACGACGTCTGTAGTTGTATATATGTATTATATTTACTATGTCTGTACCTATATATTTCTTTTTAATATTATTTAATTATAATGTCTTTGTGGCAAGACTATCTTATTCAAAAACATGGGTGAAGCTACTGGATTGGTGAAATAAAGTTAATGATTAGGTACTTGTAATAAAATTAATAGAAAGATTAAACATCCCATAAATTTTTATATAAATCAAACGATGACATAGTAACATAGAAAATAGTAAACCAACATAGGTAATTGTAACAACGGACAATATAATGAGGAGCAATTACGGGATGCAGACTTACATAGTAACCGATAATTAATGTAAAGAAAATTAACTGTGTACCGACAAAACGATTCGCGAATCCACAGGTGCGTTCAGAGTACCATACGTTTCCGTGGCATCTAGTAGATCCCGTTCCTTAGAAACAAGTTCGAACAATTAATATCCAACAACATCCACCCATAATCGCAGAGGCTTCCCTTCAGCACCATTATCACAAATTACTATTGCTATTTTGATTTCGATGGGCGGCGAACGTGATCCGGTTGCATCACGAATTGTCTTTTAAAATTAAACACTACATGTGTGTTTAGACCCCCATTCTGTGATTCGCGTTTTATTATTTTCTTTGCAAAATGTAACGTGATCTGAGGCACGTGTGGAAAGAAAACCTTTTGTTATTTTAATTTTGCAACGTCTCAACCATTGAATGTGATTGTTAAATACATTTTACCAAAAACCAGTATTACTAGTTTCATACTTTTGTATTTATTGCAACTATCTTCTGTGTAGGTATTGCTATTCCGAAACTATTTTAAAACAAATTTTAATAAAAGAGATTTAGAAAAATCTGTAATGATACAAAAGTTTATAATAATCAAGGAGTATTATAAACTATGTTTTAGTTACAGATACTTTAAATTAGGTAGTCATATGTAATAATAATTGGATACCTATCGTAAGGGAATTATAATCAACTATTTAGAGTTTTATAAAATCTCTTTGACGGCAAACCTGTATAATGATTTGTTTATTATGTTATCGTAAAGTCGATGTACTGCGATGATATACATAGATAGTTACATTTACGATAGTATCTTTTAAATAAAGCGGATATTTTATAGATTTTGATTAATTTAATAGGTTTAGTGTAAAGTCAGATAAAATAAATATTTTCAAAAATAAATCTGTGGGATTAGAAATCACTTTGTCAGTAGTAAACATACATATAAGTTTTAATATAATAAGCATATTTATTACTCTGCTAAATATATATGATTAACGAAATAATTAAGCTGCCTATAAGATGTATTGACAAAAACATTTAAATGTTTGTGCAGAAATGATGTAATTTGAGCTTTATTTTTATACTACGTAATTAAAATACTAAACGAGCTATACTTACACACGCTGTTTATATAACATATTAGACAAAATTGAAAATAGTAGGTTAAAAGTGCCTATTTCTTTATTAATACACATTATTCCACTACTGAGTGTCTCTCACAGTTTCTTCCAATAGTTCCTATAGTATATATACCTTTCAAAATAAAAATCGAAATATAAAATGTAAATGATTTTTTTTAAATCAATAATATCAGATATTTAAATCATCAGAAACCACCGAGCAAATGACGACTCAGTTAAAGAGCAAGGTCTTGATTTTAATTACTTAAATCTACGCTTTAATTAAAATTAAAGTTATATCAGTATTAAAATCATTCCTATTTGAGCTCTATCTTAGTTCTTGACACTTTATCTAGTATTTATTGTTTATTACAATAATAAAATCTATAATATGTATCATTTCTCAACTTTTATCGCATTTAAGGACTAAAAGCATTTAAGTTGTACAAAGAATAGATTCATGCGCATATTTTACGAATAAAAACATACTCACATAATAAAAGTAAAATGTATGGTAAATGTACAGATACCTTACCTGTTATATACCTACACCGGCATAGTTATTTTTTATGACATTAATGTTTTTATAAGATATTTGATTTTTTTTATATCATAATGTAAAACCAAAAAAAAAATATCTTTACTTCTTCAGTCAATTTTGGCAAGAGTTTTAATTTGTCGATAGTAAGATTAAGTAAATAATTTGTGAGGTGAAATAAATCAATATAACTTTATACTTCAAAATATTTTATTTATTTCATGAAACAATCGAATGTCTGAAACTGGATAGTTTCTTTTGTTTTCATCATAAACTGTTCTTTCAATAAAAAAAAATCTTAAAATATTAGGAATCTGCCTTAGGGTGCTAATATATCTATGTACACTAAAAGTCTTTGTCTGAAGATTTCCAAACTATATTTTATAACAATTATGAACTTTCATAAGATGTCTTACCGTAAGGTAACAACTTACACTAAGTCACAATCTTATTTTACTGACCTATTAAAATTATGTAAACTTATTATTAATGACTAGATAACAATTATAAACTATATTTAATACTTAATGCTTTAACTGGAAGCTATCGTATTTACGTAGGTGAGGCTTACAATAAGGCACAGCGATGTGAATCACTTATCATAATACTAAATGCATAAATGGAACAAATAAAAGATTCAGTCTTTGTCGTACTATCCCATCGATGTATGAAATGCAGTTAAGGGTATTCGTTCGATGTTCTGTCGGCGGAATGCATCGATGAGGTCGTTATAGTCCACCATTATCCCCTCTCATTAGGAATATACTGATTACGCTTAATTAGAGGTTCTCTCAGAGTCCCTCGCGCTCCATCGCTCGAACTCCTCTGGAGGAATACTTGCTTTTTTCACAAGCCGCCCAATGGCCGCACTTTGATCACCGTAATGCACGGTTCCTGGGAACAAGAAAAAAACAACGTTTATTTTAAATGTTTGAAATTCCCATTTTAAATAAAAGTAATCAAGTGCCAGGCCTTTGATAAAGATAAATATAATACAGGAAAACACGCAAGCCATATCTGTATAGGCTGCCGTATGACGCTCTTCGATTCCCATGAATACTAAGGTATCAACAGATGTTTGTTCAGAGCTTAGCAAATATTGTAACACGTGTGCTTCGCTCACCGCCCTTCTATTTCCTCTTGAGATTTCGTCTTCCGGCAAAATAAATTAATAGTCAACAAAGAAGTCCTAAATATTTTTTGCCATTTCTATTTAAGATTAGATGCGGTTTCAGTAGTTTACTACGTCCATAAAATTGCCCCATATGGCGATTTAGAAATGTTGACCGGATGTGCCATCTTAATTTTTAAGAATATGTTCCTTGACTAAACCTGTTTCCACTTGTAATAGATTTAAGGAATCTCCTACATCGTCTTATTATTAAAATAGACCACCTTTTTATGTGCAATTTTCCCACTACATGCGGGGCGAACCACAAGATTGTTAGAAGTAATTGCTGCTCACTATTGACGCAAATATGTAGACAGAATGCGGGTGCTTTCTATCCTATAAAACACCATAGGCAAATATTTTTCTATAATCCTAAAAAATTCTACCTACCCACGACCTTTTATGGACGACATATTTTAAGATTCGCTATTGTATGAGACATGCTATTGTGTCGTCCTAATTTTACAAAGAACAGATAAAGTCTATCCGATGGATCAATGCGCAACCATAATGGAATTTATGTGTTTACTTTTTGCTTGCCAGGACGAAAATTGTGAATCTCTATTGAAGTTGTGCAATATAATGGTACGATTCAAAATCGAGCCGGTAGGTAACCGTGACTAATGAATCCTATAAGAAAAAAATCTTGAGCCTGATATAAAGAGACCTTTGAAGTTTCGACATTCCTGACATTTTAGCTAATACTCGTACTTCTATCAAACATATGATAAAGTATGCGTAATAAATATTTTAAAAATATCTGATTCTAAGGAATAAAAACTTAATGTAATTCCACTGTTGGCTGAGTTTAAACTAATAATTTGACGATATCAATAAATCAACAAACGCCGCGACAAAAATCAACATAGTGATAAGAATATCATTATCAAAGCTCTGAAGATTAGTTTTGTATAAACATATTTTAAGGCCTTATTCATAAAATTAATGTCGTTCACTATAATCTCAAATTATACATATATAAATACAAAAATAGAATGCTTACCTTTATTCACTGTTGCTGCCACCATGATATAACATCGAGGAGTTCTTCATCTTCCGGACTCATAGGTTCATAGGAATCATACGCATCATGATAACTTGGGCCTGCTGAACTTTCTGACACTAAAGACGGTGCTGGTGAATGTGACTCTTCTGAAGATGGAGGTGTTTGTGGTCCATTTGTTGCTAAACCTAATCCTATTTGAGTGTCTGAGCATCCTTCTTCATTTTCCTCTAATAAACGTTTTAAGCTTTTAATATATTCCACAGCCAGTCTTAATGTATCCACTTTGCTCAACTTTCTAGATGATCCCCTACCTCCAGCCAGTGCTGCTGTAACTGCCGATGGTATGTGTTGACGGAGTGCTGCAAATCCGTTGTTTACTTGCTTTACTCTATTCCGCTCCCTGGCATTTCTTCTTGCTACTGAAGCTGGTTGTGCTGGATATGGTTGATGAAGATATGATTTTTTTTTGCATCGAGATGTATCGACAGGTGCAGGTGCTAGCCTTCGAGGTGCAGGAGATTGTAGGTGTACCAGCTTCTGATCTACACCGAGATTTTGATAACCGTGAATGGCCGTCATCGGCATCGCGGACGTAAACTTGTCGGGATTGTATCGAGAGCACACAAGTGCGAGCCGCGCGGAGGTCGCCGGTGGATTGGCGGAGGTGGCGTGCACCCCCGACGCTAAGTAGCGCGAGCGCCGGCGGGCGGCGGGCGGCGGCGGGCCACTTGGCGAGGCGGTGGGGCGCGTGCCCGGCGCGCGCGCAAACGCACGGGCCGCCTTGCCTCGCTCCCCTGCTACTTGTAGCGCTCTGATCAAAATATGCCGGCGCTTATTATGCCATAGAGCGGTAAGCTCGCGCCGCTATTGTTGCACGTCGTTGCGCGTAATTATCCCGTCCATTACCTTGTTCGGAAGACGGGATCTGTTCGCATCGTCTATTTAGAAGTCGTTAAAGAGAATAGGTGCTGTAAACGTATCAGCGACGATATTGTTTTATTAATGTCTTGAATTTTTGTTCACCATAATAAGCTTTAATATTTTTTTTTTATTGCAATATTAATCATTGTCTTTAACAAAAAACTGCACACGTCTAAGATTTTATCTCTTGTTTTAACTGCGCGTAACAACGCAATAATAGTTTTAAAGTGGATAATCAAGTCACACATATCAGCACAGTAAAATAATTTATATTCCTAAATTCTAAACAGGGATTATTTCAAAACTTTAGGAACTCTATGACAATAAGTATCTATACTAGTCTTGAGAGCAGTAGCATGAGTTCCTAACAGGTAGATGTACTAAAGGCGTCCATTTGTTTCTAACATAATGTGTAGGCGTCAAGTTGACAGGTGTAGTAGCATGCAATAATAGGTATATTCACTCTATCTAGTGAAGAATTTGCAATAGGTAGTTAAAATTGAGAGTGGGAATGTTTTTTGTGGTACTTTTTTATATCTAATCTAGTGAATGGATAGATAAAATAGTGACTTCACTTAATATACCTATTTACAATAAATTTTAAATTTAAATTATTTTAAATAAATTTGTATATGCAATCGCCACGCCAATGTGATAATAGTAGGTTATCTATATTCTTTTCTTATGTTAATATAGTAGAGGTAGGAGTGGTTAAAGCAGTTATTTACAATAGTTTTGTTTAAGTATCCCTATATAATTTTCTTGGCGTCAAGTTGATATGTGCTTTTTATTAATATATTATAAGGAAAGTCTAAGGTGTAATCAAAGCAGGTGTTATTTGTAATTTGTGTCATTGTTATTATTAGATACGTATGATTATTATTCTAAAAATTACTCAATATTTTCAAACGACTGTTCAGGAGGAGATTCTCAATTTAAATATTTTTTTTTGTGAACCCCAAATTTGCACCGATTTTGATGCAATAGACATAATTTTCTTTCGTATTGGCCCCATCTTCTATAATCAATTATGTCACGATTGGGGTCAGATTTTTTAATTTGTATTTTAAATTGTTTTAATGCCTTTAAAGTGTCTATAATTACTTCATCACAAATTTATTGTTCTAATTGAGAACATTATAACTTTCTCTTGAATAAATTTAGAAACTTATGGTAATGTAGGCAAACAAATGTTATTTGTATGATAAATTTTTTTTACTTAATAATTAAAAACTATCTAGGGAAATGAATATTTAGAGAGAAGATATTATTATTTTTGCCAAGAGCTTAAAATATGTTAGAGTTTAACTGGTTTAAATGTTCATTAAAATTATTAATTAAACTATTTATTGCCTCTATACATCACATATTCCTGTATTGATAATAGAACATCTCCGTAAAGGCACGCGTCAAGTTGGCAGGTGTGGTGTACAGGTAACTCGAATTGCATGCTGAGGCGAGTCACTTTACCTGTTCTCTAGCTGTACTTGATATCTGTGTACTTAAAAGAAAGAAATATGTCTTAAAATATTAAAGTTAGTAAGCTATAATTTTTTTGTATTACTAGAATTCACACCCACATTGTGGACTTGACGTAGAATAGTAATTCTCACCTACAAGCATAACTGTATAGCAAAATGGAATTCGCAGAAACTCTTCTCAATTATTTTCTTTCCTAGGAACTAACTTAGGCAGTGTAATCCTAGGTATTGTAAACATGTCTTTAGTGTCAGTGCCCAGTACTAACATTAGGAGTTTTTGTATCTTCAATCAACAATATGAATTAGATACATGATATTAGGTCTACTTTTTACATTGTTTAAGTGTATTATGTTTAAATTCAATAAATAAATTAGCTAAGCCTAATGAAAACAGAAACAGATCTCAAGATAGCACCATATAAGTATATTAAATGCAAAAGGGTATAAAAGTTTAATGATTTCGATGTTAATGAACTTTTATCTTAATTAATGCAATTGATAAAGTACAGTTTTAAATAATTAAAAGCAGGAACTTACTCTGCAAGTTAGGCCTTAATTATTCGTTCGTTTTTGGAGCCTTCACCGAACACTTAGTTGACATTGTTGATCAACATTCTTCTTCAATAAAACTGAAAAACAATGTTTTTCGCAGAAATACGTACATATTGAATCACACTAAACTGCCTAATTTAATAAATAATAAATAATTATTATGTTAGCATTGTAGATTCCGGCATAGAATAGGCCACCTCTTCCTTCACCTCCGTGGGTGACGTACGAGGCGACTAAGGGAACTAAATGTGGAGAGATCGACAGCAGCGTCCCTCTTAAAATATCACCAAAAGCCAAACTGCAGTTGCCAACCAGCTTGCTAAACGTGGCAACGACTGGCAAATCCCCACGTATGGGGAAGGCTATGTTCAGTAGTGGACAGTTAACAGCTGATACAAACATTATTATGCTTTATTTCGTATAATCTATATAAATAAAAAGCAACTGCTGAATGCACGTAAACTAGTTGTTCATAAGATCTTTTATCACATAGTGTATTCTGGTTTTAATGAAATTAATAATTAGTATAAGAGGTGAAATAATAATAAATATTCTAATGAATCCAATGTTCAGTAATTTTCCTAAATACCCACATTTCAAAATGTCAGGTTGCAAGCAGGTGCGCGGCGTTTGACAATCTCGAATATTGCCATGTGACGTTGTTGTGACCAATCTCTAGGGCAGATCGTTATCGGGAAATCTGAAGGGACGGCCTATTACTAATTAACTCTGAAAAAATATTATATAATTATTAATGTACTTTATTTTAATTGAATAGAAAATTAATATTATTGATTAAATTAAAATAATCTATATTATTCTCGTGTCAGTATTTTTATTTAAATATAACGGATAATTTGAAATAACATCGACACTGAAAAAACTTATTTATTCATAAATATGTTACATTAATCTTTTACCATACAACAATGTAATAATTTCAACATTTATAAATATATAGTTAATAACAATTTTATTTCAATGAACTTGAGAATGTTAAATTATTGAAATTATTTTAATCTCTACGCAATAGCCTAGTAATTATAATAATAATTACTGGGTATTAAGAAAATTTTGTAATAGATTAATCGACTAGCATTAATCGACTTTACCAACCCTTAATTTGAGCTTCGTTACGCCATCTACCTGCTACCCTTAAGTAGCGGTACTAAAATCGATATAAAGTTGCCTTACGTAATATACGTTCAGCGTTGATTCTCCAGATGGCGCTATATTTATTAGTAGGGGATGAAAACGAGGGGTGGAAGTGGTTGTGGACCGTTATGTTTTATGGTTTTACAAAACTATTAATAGATGGCTCTTTACAGTGTTATTAATTAATTATTGAATACTATGCCAAATCGTTTATTAAGAATACCTTAAACATTGACTTTACAAAGTACATTTAAGGAATTATAAGTATTTAATTATTTACTCTTTATTGCACCACTTAAAGTATATTAAAAAATAAATTATAAAGTTAAGGCGTGTTTCATAAAAATCAGTCATAAATAATTTAATGTGTATACGACAATAATTTTAATACAATCTTTTATTATAAAAGTTTTATTGAATGTTTTTCTAAATAAAACAGATATCTAGGTTCCTGATAATATTTTTGGGAGAGACTAATTTGTAGTAAATTTAGGTACCTATTAGTTTGGAGACACCTGTTGTATTTTGCATTTAATACTACTATATGTGAGTAAACCGAAATTCGAAAAGTCATAAAAATCTATCATACACTTACAGTAATTTCTTAGAAGACAATTTAAATTTTATGTCGACATACAGTAGCAAACAAGCAATTATCCATGGCGCAGAGGTAGGATTAACGCCTTATGCCTAACGCCTGGACCATATGAAGCCATTAATTAAAAATATAATAAACTCCTTGACTGCTTACTACCTCTCGTTTAATTATCTCCGCGTATTTAGCGTGTCCGATACGATCGATGACCAATTTTATGAGCGGAGCAATCGGTAATAATCACTTTTTAAACAAAGATTATTATAAAAAAATTAAATGAAACATATTTACTATAAATTTTTACCTTAAAAATTAAATTAGTTTTTGTATTTGCTTTATGAAATGTACTTAACTACTGTTCTATCAACACTTGTATTTGTAAAATTTTATAAATTCTCGATTAAATTATATCTCTTTGACAAAATAAATATCTTAAACCAGGTTTTTTTAACTCTATTATGGATACGTTTTTTATAGATTTTAAAGACCAACTAACCTGTTTTTATTTAGTGTAGCAATACCTTACTTAAATCGCAAAGTAAATAATTGACTATTTTATTTAACCCTGTGTCTAAGTACTTAGCATAGGCACTGATGAGCTAAAAAGGTCATAAATGCTATGCCATAAAATTAAATTAAAATTAATGTCTTCTATATCATTAGCTATATTTCTGATATCGCTGATATCCATGATTGCTGTACTTAATTAATCACTTACTATTAGACCAAACACTTGATGGCACCCTTATCCTATAATAAAAACACAACTATAACAATTTTAATTAGCTTAAATAATTCAAAACAAATATTAATCGAAACAATTAATCCTTACCTCAAATAATATTAAGTCCGATTTAATCTGCAATACAAGTTATAATTGATCTACATACACATTGCTGCCGATTTAATGGCAACAGAAATGCAGGCAAGCACTTTGAAGTCTTTCGGCGTGTGCACACGAGACATTTCCAATAGTCCTCAGCCGTAATTATCCCGTCGTTCGATGGATTTATTGTCATTTTTAATAACCGCATCGATTTCGCGTGTTAAAACCGCTCGGAGTCAGAAAATTGCCGACTAAAATAAATTGCACAAACTAAAAACACTGTGTAGTATTCATCTTGTATATAGTTATTTAATACGTCATTTAATATTTGTACCTTTACACAACAGCGGTATCGCATTCAGTTTTAGCTTGGGATACACGCAATACAAATTATAATACCACATCCGTAGACAAAGACAGATTCTGATTGTCATCAAAACAAACGTTGCACGATGCTTTCCTTGTAAATATCGCTAGGTTACCAGCAATAACTTTGGCGGTTATCTAGAAGGCTATCATTTGCTAAATAGCAATCGCAAATAAACCTCGCCGTTCGTGTACCACCTATATTAGGGACGGCGGGCGCAAACATCGCGGTTGGGTGTATAATTTCGCGTCGGGTGCCGCGCTGACATTCGCCGGAGCCTCTTCGACGAGGTTGCCATACCACAATATATCACGTGCTCGCGAACACCGCCACGCTGTATAATTCGTGTAATTTATAGGATTCAGACGACTAGTAGCAAAGCGGCCGACATGGCTAATAGCGAGTAACCACGCGACAGACGCATTCGTGTACTAGCTGGTATTACGCCTAGGGCGCTCCAGCCACTTCGCTATCACAGATACGCATTTTGATTAAATGGCCCTACACGATAGTCGTGCGTAATGTTCTAAAACTATGGAATACGCACGGTGCATTTAGATCCAATGATGGGTTAGCGCGTAAGTGGCTGTATTTTTTTTTTCGCGACTGCGTTTAGTTAATGCATATACCATAAGCTATATACTGTTTTTATATATTGTACAGGGTTAGTAATATTGTATCAAAATTGAATTAATATACAATATTATTTAATAACACAATATAGTAATAGTATTTTGGCAATGATTAATTTAACTGACATACATAATTTGTAAAAATGCAGGAACCCAATCTGATTTAAGAGGTTAGTGCCGCGAACGCTCAGGCTGTGGAATACCTTGCCTGCCGAAGTTTTTCCTAGACATTGCAGTATAGCGTGATTTAAAAAGAGTATATTAAGGTTTCTTCGGGGTCGCAACGCACACGTGACACCCCTAATTTTGCAGGCGTACATAGGTTACAGTGACCGTTTACCATCAGATGAACTGCTTGTTTGCAACCTTCGTGGTATAAAAAAAATATCTTAATTGTTTGAAGAAAAATTAAAAAGTTCAATTAAAAATGTTCTTCTTTTCTGCAACCCTTATATGTATACGAAGCACATATAAGATGATATAAAAAAAAGATGGTATTAGAAACTATTAATTACTATTAAATTTATATTAAAATTACATAAAAAAATATTGCCTTATTTTAAAAATTCGTAATATCTCTACTTATGCCAACATACACAAAATTATTTACAAGTTAAATTATTTTGTATATGTTGGCATGAGTTTTAAATTAATGTGAATTACTTCATTATACATAATAAAATTGTCTTTGTTCTCTCATTTGCATAATGATGGATTAATTACACTAAAATAGCAATTTAATAAAAGCGATTCTCATAAATTATGTCCTAACACATAGTTAAATATTAAACAGCAAACCGATGAAATGAAAATAAATATTAAAAAAATCGGAATTTATAATATTTACAACACAATAAGCGTTGTAATAAATTATAAGGTTCGACTCTACCGCGCTATGTAATGTACTTCGTACCAAGTACCGTAGAACTCTGACGGCGTATTTATTTTTTCTCGTAGCGTAAAGTTCGCGCGCAACAACGTTGCTTTTATTTTTATTTAACTAACATTCCGATTATTCATTTATTAAACAAATGGCGAAGCTTCATCAAACGAATATCTTTCACATCTTAAAGTAGTATCGTATTTAATATTAATATTGAATTTATTTTCGAAGTGCCGATTTAAGTAACGTTTGTCTGCGATTTATGTTGCGAGTCCATGTTAAATGCAGTGTTTCAAAAATAAAACATATTAGTCTGACTGTATTTATCGATTGCTTATTGTAGTAATGTGTTTAAGCTAATGTGATTGTATTTATATTTAATGAGCATATTCCTTTTTAAAAGGTCGGCAATACACATGCAGCGTTGTAGTAGTCACATACTCTCAGGTGAGCCGCATACTTGTTTGCCCCCTGTATTGTAAAAAAATGCATCAATAAGTAAATAGTAAATTTAGTACATTAAAATTAAGTTCGTGGTAATTAATAACACATGTAATTAGGTATTTGGTTGTTTATACATAATTAGATACAGGTCAGAACATATAGTTAGTATGGTAACTTAAAGTTGGATATAGGATAGTTTTTATAAAACTTTTCAGGTATGTTTAACTATACGTAACTTATAATTAGACAATAGTCAGACCCCAAAATATAAAGCCTGTGTGGTAATTTAAAGATGGATAGAAGATAGTTTTTATAAAGATTTAAGAAGACACGTAACTTTTATTCTCAAAAGTCTATGTTTTAGATATTTTTGTATCTACCTTATATTTATTCGCGACTCCGTCACTAATCTTCACTAACCGAGATAACCGAAGTAGCGTATATCCTTCTGCATCCCGTATAGTACGTACATACCTAATTTAAAAGTGATTAAATAAACAAAGATATTTTTATATTAGTAAGGATTACTAAGTACTCGTAGGCACTTAATTTATACACATCTAAAACCTATTTACGTGTACCTATTTGAAATCTTATTAGATTTATTATCCAATTAGACTTAGTTAACTATTTACTCACAAGATGAATATTCACAATAAATTACATATTTATGCTATATTTTAATGACTTGAAAAAACGTACAGAATGCCATATATTTACATAATAAATTTATTATTGTCAAATATCTTTAATTAATTAGAACTGTTATCTGATCTGTTTAGACATTATAATTGATAAAGATTTTTACTTACATTATTTTCATGTATGTTCGATATGTTCGATCCACCATGGAACTCACGACCCCAGTTTTTTGAGTCTG